ATGCCACTATCTCAGGCTACTTTTTCTTAGTTTAGATGGGGTTAGAGTTGGCACTCTGGTGTGTGTGTCCTAGTGCCTATGTGTGAGGTTAAAGCTAGTGCATTGTGGAAATCCAGGGCCATACCTGTGCCCATTTTTGGTTTCCCTAGTTTCTGCTCTACCATAAGGCCTTGAGGAGTCCCACACTCACCAGCAGCAGCTGAGTCTCTGCTTGGCTTTTTCCTGAGGGTCCCTTGAGACACTAGGACTTGAGTTCCCAGCAGGTAGCTCCTCTGATGTGTTGTGCCCAATTTGCATCACTTGGGTTCCCAATAGACTTACTTGCAATGTGCTCAAAACTACATGGCTAACTCCTTCTTGGTCATTTGGTTTCTCTTTGCTCAAGGAAGAGTCTTCATGGTAAAATCTCTGAGAAACTTGGCTACATTGATCCTGGCAACTAGCTATCTGTTCTCACTGTCAGAAATAATTGGGGAGGAGGCACTAATACATCAATTTTAAAAATCTGTAGCTCTCCACATGCAGTGGAGGAAATTGCTGCCTATGGCTCTTCTAGCCATGGTCTCTGTGACACCCACCAGATGACCGGGTAGGACTATGCAAATATAAGGTGCTATGGCCCACCAAGGGGATTGAATAGTTTGCTAATAATGCAAATAAGGTACATGGTATCCTTGGGGGGGGTGTTGTTGTTGTTATGTGCCGTCGAGTCGGCCCCAACTCATAGCGACCCCTCCTTGGGTTTCAGAGGCAGTATCACTACGGAAGTAGGATTGCCTGACCTTCCTTCCGAGGAGTGGCTGGTGGGTTTGAATCGCCAGCCTTCTGGTTAGCAGTCAAGTGCTTTAGCCACTATGCTACCAGAGCTCCTCCTTGGGGGTGGAACTACGCAAATATGGAGTATGGAACCCTGATGTGGGGGATTGGTCAGTCTTTCCATTTTGCTAGGCTTAAAATGAACCACCCCAGGGATGGAAAGTGGGATCTCATTGCCATCAGGAGAGAAGAGCGAGGAGTGGACCATGCCCTTGGACTCAGGATTCCTGCACAGACATGGCAGAGAGACGGCAACAGCAGAGGCAGCAGAACCAAGAGACTGGCATGGGACAGAGTGGTGACATCTTGACCCGTGGAGCGAAACGGCTGAGTGTCTTTGGACAAGAGGCTTGCTGGTGGAGTAGGGTATCTATCAAGCAAAACTAACAAGCTTTGTAACTCTGGCCTTCACAGGGCAGAGGCCAAGGCCAGAGAGGAGTGTGCCTGTGGCACGGCTGAAAAGCTGTCCTCATTGAAGAACTGTACCCTGATTTTTTTCAGATCCTAAATTGTAATTCATTACTTCGATAATAAACCCTGTAATCATGAGTTTTGTCTGTGTGTTCTGTTGACCACTGCAACAATTTATGGAACCCAGCAGAGAAGGAGAGAGTGCTGTGGGAGGAATGGCTGGTGTCAGAACAGGTAGAAAGGTTGGAGGTGGCAGCATGTCTGACCTCCGTTCATAGGGATCAGCCTTGGGCTGTTGCTGTTCTGAAGCCTCTTTCCTTTTCGTGTTTAGAGGAGGTTGGAAGATGCCTCTCCCATGCCCTTTTTACACCTCACAAATGCCAGAACCGAGGCTGGAGGACGCCATTCCACCCAGTGAATGAATCACTACTTAATACTGGTTGTGCTTGTGGTTCACCTCATTTCCACCCATGTTTCCCCTGTGAGGTAGGTCTCCCCATGGCACGTGGGCTCCATGAGTACAGGCTCTGATATGGACTGCTCACAGCTTTCTCTCCATAAGTGTCAGGAACCTGAAAACTTATTGATTGCATCCAAAGTTATAACTAAGATTAGAACATCTGCCAAATTCCAAACACAAAATTTCCTCTTCTGTCAGCTGAATGTAGCCACAAAGGCTGACCAATCTGATGTGTTAAGTCAAATGTGGCTGGTGTTTCATGGTAGGAAAGCAACCATCAGTCCTTGCCTCATATGTCCCTTCCTCCGCTGCTGACAGGAGGGTTGGAGGGTCGAGTCTACCCAGAGGCCCTTCATCGAAAGGCCTGCCATGAGAATTCTGTGGAGCACAGTGTTGCTCTGACATAACGGGGCCCCGTGAGTCAGAATCGACTCCATGGCAACTGGTATTGGTACTGATTGAGGCCTGGGAGTAAGACAGCTCTGGAGAGAATGGGATGATCTCGATCTGGTAGGTCCTATATGGAGCTCTGGCAGGAGCTCTGGTGGTGTAGTCCCTAAGGCATTTGACTGCTGACCAGAAGGCTGATGGTTCAAACCCACCAGCCACTCCTTGGAGGAAGGTTGGGCAATCTACTTCCGTAGTGATACTGTCTTGGAAACCCAAGGGGGGATTGCTGTGAGTAGGATCTGACGCAACAGCCATGGTTTTATATGGAGCTCTGGCAATATAGTGGTTAAGGCATTTGGCTGCTAACAAAAGGTCAGTGGTTCTGAACCCACCAGCACCTCTGTGGAAGATGAGGCAGTCTGCTTCTGTAATGATTTTCAGCCTTGAAAACTCAACAGGGTCTCTATGAGTCAGTATCGACTCCATGGCCTTGAGTTTGGTTTGGTTTTATTAGGAGTTTTGCTGGGGTAGGGGTTAAGGTATTTGGCTGCTAACCAAAAGTTTGGTGGCTTGAACCCACCAGGCGCTCTGCCGAAGAAAGATGAAGCAGTCTGCTTCTGTAAAGATTTATAGCTTTGGAAACCCAAGGGAGGTTGCTCTGAGTCAGAATCAACTCCATGGGCAGTGTGTTTGAATTTGGCATAGGGTTGCTATGAGTCGCATTTGATTTGATTGCAATAGGTTTGGTTTTGGGTTTATAGTGTTGCTCTGGTGGTGTAGTGGTTAAAGCATTCAGCTGCTAACTAAAAGGTCTGTGGTTCGAGCCTACCAGCCACTTCCAGGGAGAAAGATGAAGCAGTGTGCTTCTCTAAAGATTTACACACTTGGAAACTCTATAGGACAGTTCTACTGTACATAAAGAAAGCAAAAATCCTCACAACTAGACCACTAAACAACATTGTGATAAACAGAAAAGATTGAAGTAGTTAAAGATTTCATTTTACTTGGATCCACAATCAACGCATATAGAAGCAGAAGTCAAGAAGTCAAATGACATATTATATGGGCAAATGTGCTGCCACAGACCTCTTTAAAGTCCTAAAGCAAAGGTATCACTTTGAGGATTAAGATGGATCTGACCTAAGCCATGGTATTTTCAATCACTTCCTATGTATGTGAAAACTGGACAATGAATAAGGGAGACCAGAGAAGAACTGGTGCGTTTGGAGTATGGTTTTGGTGAAGAATATTGAATATTCCACAGACTGCCAGAAGAGCACACAAATCTGTCTTGGAAAAAGCACAGCCGGAATATTTCTTAGAAGGGAGGATGGTGGGGCTTTGTCTCATGTACTCGGGGCATGTCATTGGAAGGGTCCAATCCCTGGAGCAGGACATCATGGTTGGAAAAGTGGACGGTCAGCAAGAAAGAGGAAGACCTTCAAGGAGATGGACTGACACAGTGGCTGCAACAACGGGCTCCAACATGGCAGTGCTTGAGGCTGGCACAGGGCCCTGGGAGCTCTGTTCTGTCCCACGTGGGGGCACCATAAGTGGGAACAGACTCGAAGCACCTAACAATAGCAGGATAGGAGTAATGACCCCTGGTGGTGCAGCGGTCAAGCACTTAGCTGCTAAGGGAAAGGTTTGAACCCACCAGCTGCTCTGTGGGAGAAAGATGCGAGAATGTGCTTCTGGGAAGATTTACAGCCTTGGATGTGAGCTGCTGTATGCAAAGTGAATTTGTTCTGCAAACTTTCACCCAAATCACACACACACACACACACACAACACACACAAACAAGATTTACAGCCTTGGAAAGCTTATGAGGTAGTTCTACCCTGTCCTACAGGGTTGCCAAGAGTCAGAATTGACTCAATGACATGTTTTTTTTTTTTTTTTCTTTGTTCATGTTTGTATAAAGTTCCTGGATGTGGCAGGGTTTGTGATGGGCTATGAACCTAAAGGTTGACGGTTCAAACCCACGCAGTGGTGCCTCAGCATCATGACCTGGCAGTCTGCTTCCATAAGGAGTCCTGGGGGCACAATGTTGAAGCGTATGGCTGCTAACCTTACGGTTGGCGGTTCGCACCCCCCCCCCAAGTGCCTCTGCAAGAGAGACTTGGTGACCTGCTCCTGTGAAGATTACGCCCTAGAAACCTCTACGGGGCACTTTGTCACATGGCGTTGATGAGCCAAATCAACTCGGCACCTGACAACAGACGGCTTCCCTAAAGATTATAGCCAAGTAAACCCTATGGCGCACTGGGACTCCTACCAAGCCTATACTCCAACGCGGTCGTCATGAGTCAGAACAGATTGTAAGGCAAGGGGTCTGGGTCCTTTGTGGCCTGGATTAGGACTGGTTTAGGACTGTGCCACTCGATCATTCCACGAGTACCTGCACACCTTCCTAAGCCCCCGCCACACTGTGGGGAGCGCGCGGTGGCACAACAACGTGTGAGGGTGACAAGGGGCAGCTGGCTCCAGCAGGGGTCCTCCTGCAACACGGAGCCAGACTAACAGCGGAGGCGCCCAGAGATCTGGTAGGCATGGGTCGGAACGCCGAGCCCCAGCCCCGAGGGCTCCACGCGGACCTGGCATTGCAGCCAGTTTCCCGCCCAGGCCCACCGCCGATCCTCTGGCTCTGAGTCACCGCTGCGAAGGCAGGGCGCGCCAGGAGTGCGGCCGCGCATGCGCCCCGGAGCCCGCCGGGAACGTGACCGCGAGAGCTGGCGGGAGCGCGCCCGCCCGCTGGGCGCCTTCGGCCCTGCCCTACGTGCCCAGCGGCTGGTACGGCCGCTCGCGCCTCCTGCGTGCGTGCGCGCCCCCGCTGCGGCCGCGTAGGAGCGCGTCGCGTCGTTGCCCCGCCCTGCGCGCGCGCCGGCGTCGGCTGCGTCTCCGGGCATTTGAATTGCGCTTCCGCCATCTTTCCATCCCTCAGTCAGAAGGGGCCCGGAGACGCTTCTGGAAGGTAGCTGCGGCCGGCGGGTGTCGGGCGGCTTGGAGGGTCGGCGGGCGGCCGCGGAAGGCGGAAGCCGCGGCGGGGCGACGGGCGAAGGGCCGCAGAGGGCGGCGGCGGCGGCCCTGAGGAGGCGGTTAGCGCCGGGCCGG